CTGTGATAGCCCATCCTAGACAATAATGAAAAATGAAAGGGATTTACAGAAAAGGCGTTAGGGGGTAGCACCTCCTGTAGCAAATGTTCCCCATCAGGTTCACCGGGCTGAGCACACCCAGGTGCTCAGTGAGGCAGACCCTGTCTCTAGGCCACCACCTCTATAACCTTTCCTGCAAAGACCAACGTTGATTTTACCTGGGGCCAGAAGGAAGAGAAGAGCAAAGACAAAGAGGAATGTCCTCATGACTCGCAGGATCTTGAAAGATCAGCACAGTGTCCATGATAAAAATTTAAAAAACAGCAAAACACCCACATTTATACGTTTCTCTAAACCAAAGAACATCTTGATCGGCGAGGCATGTCAGAAACGAGGGCCTGTCCATGCTCCCCTGACGAGAGCCCACACATCTCAGTGGGTGGCAGTCTGTGGCTCATTGTTTTTCTGATTCTGGAAAGTTCCCAAGAAGGACAATGGGGAAGAAGCAAAAACAGAGCAGAGGGTGCATTGGTGACCAAGGACAGATAGATAGAGGCACCAGCGGGAACAAAAGGTCTGGAACCTGGCAGTTTGGGTTTCTAGTCCTGCCTATGCTCCTTCATAGCTTTGGTTCACTCATATGTAAAAGGAGAGTAAGTATATAACATCATAACACAGTCAGTGGGGTCTGAATTCCAGCTCTGATATGCAGGAGCTGTGTACATTTGGCAAGCTGTTCTACTGAAGGTTGTGTTTTTATTATTATTATTTTTTAATTGATACACAGGGGCGCCTGGGTGGCTCAGCTGGTTGAGTGGTTCTTGATTTTGGCTCAGGCCATGATCTCAGGGTCCTGGGATCCAGCCCTGTATCAGGCCCTGCACTCAGTGGGGAGCTTGCTTGTGATTCTTTCTCTTTCCTCTCCCTCTACCCTCCATCTCTCTCTCCCTCATTCTCTCTCAGATAAATAAATAAATCTTAAAAATAAGTGCTACACACTTAGTGTTTCACACATTATCTTATTTTATCCTCAAACAGCTCCCCAGACAGTTCTGAGCTTATACGATATTTGATTATGACTATATATGCGTGTGTATATATACATATATATATATATAATAGCTATATACTCTGAATGTCACAGACTCCCACTAATTTTATTTTTTTTCCTAATCTGCAGTAATTCAACTAAGTGGGTGGAGAGAATGTCCTGAATTATCCACTTTAATTCTTCCTTCTGGTGGAATACCTCTCTTTAATGCAACACTGGGGAGACGAGCCTCCCTCATGATCACTCCGCATTAGTATTGCTACTAAAAGTTGAAATACCTTAGAAGCATTTGTTAAAATAATCATAAACTCTTGAAAAGCAATAGATGCTTGTTGTGTCATTGAAAACATGGTTTTTGTATGAGATCTGGACAAGACCATCCATTTATTTCCTTGTGCCACACTGATATCAACAAATGATCGAATACATAAATAACTCTGAGAAAAGGGACACATTTTTAACTTTTCTCTATTCCCTTCCAATCCACAGTTAAAATTATTTTATTTTTTCAATTAAAATGATTTAAATCCATAAGAAAAGACAAACTTCCAAACATCTTAAAGTGACACCCACAGCCTCATCGGTCTTCTTTATTACCCCATTATGTCATTTATCTCTGCTTCTTAAGGCTAGTCTGTTTCATCAGGAAGTGAAGGTTGCAAACTTAAGGGAATCATAGTTGGACCCTTTGGCACAATTGAATGTTACTAAGGTGATGAGAACTCCAGGTGGTGGTAGGATTTCACATGGCTTCTCCTCTAAACTCAGATGATGTCTCAGTCCCTTTGAGCTGCCATCACAAAATACCACAGATGCAGTGGTTTATAAACGACAAATATTCATTTCCCATAGTCCTGGAGGCTAGAGATATAAGACTGAGCACCAACATGACCAGGTGCTGGTGTGGGCCCTCTTCTGAGCTACAGATGACTTTTCCCTGTGTCCTCCCTCAGAGGGTGGGGACAGGGAGCTCTCTGGCATTCCTTTTATTAGGCAATAATCCCATTCATGAGGGCTCTTAACCTAATCACATTCCAAAGGCTCACCTCCAAATCCCATCACTGTGGGGATAAGGTTTCCACATGAATGTCAGGAGGACACAGTTGTTCAGCCATGGCATATGTAATCTTGTCTGAGCACTCCAAAGAGTCAACCCCCTCTCCTAAGGGCTAAGAGCCAGCCTATTCACACCTCACTGTGGAGAGGACAGACATCTCGGAGTGGCTGAATTCTAAGGTCTGGAGTGTGATGAGTTCCAGGGTGTGGGGGCTGCTCAAGGAAGAGAGGTGGCATCAGGTGGCATCTGGACAGGGTTGCATGGGGGAACACCCTGCCAGAGATCGCAGCATGATGCATCCCCTGAAAGGGGAAGGGAACTCCCAGAGGAGAGGGGCACTAGAGAAAGGCTCACATGTCTAGATGATACGTCTCAGCAGCAAGGTGGGGAGTCTTGGGATCACAGCTCTCAGGAGGGCATTGGCAATTTGGAGTCTTAATGCTGTGGGCTTTGTCTTGTCTATGTTAGCAGGTGTTGGGGGCACTTTGGGGGGGCACACAAAGCAGGTGGGCTTTAAATGGCTAAACAAATGTTTAGTTGCACCATACTTGAAGCACTCAGGTATGGAAGAATTTGAGCTTGGAGCAGGGCACTTTGAGCTGTAGAAGTGAGCACCACAGGGACCACTATACAGAGGGACCACCTCATTGGCCCACTGATGTAGCAAAGAGGTCTTGAGATCCCTATGACAAGGACCAACCCTTTAATTTGAGAGCTGCAAGAGTCTTCTTATTTAGACATTCACTCCAGGTCGGGACCAGCTACATAACATGCTGGCCCAAGCACATAATGAAAATACAAGTGCCCATGTTCAGGAAACAGGGAAAAGGTGCCATTAAAGGCACCGAGTTCCTCTGTCATAGATTTTTTTTTCTCTTATTATTTTCTTTTTCTTTTTATAATTTTTTAATTTTTTTGTGAACATATACTATATTATTAGCCCCAGGGGTACAGGTCTGTGAATCGCCAGGTTTACACACTTCACGACACTCACCATAGTACCACCTTTCTCATAGCACATACCCTCCCCAATGTCCATAACCCCACCACCCTCTCCCAACCCTCCTCCCCCCAGCAACCCTCAGTTTGTTTTGTAAGATTAAGAGTCTCTTACGGTTTGTCTCCCTCCTGATACCATCTTGTTTCATTTATTCTTTTCCTACCCCCCAAACCACCCACATTGTATCTCCACTTCCTCATATCAGGGAGATCATATGATAGTTGTCTTTCTCTGATTGACTTATTTCGCTAAGCATAATACCCTCTAGTTCTATCCATGTCATCGCAAATGGCAAGATTTCATTTCTTTGATGGCTGTATAGTATTCCATTGTATATATATACACCACATCTTCTTTATTGTCATAGATATTTTTCTTTGCTATTTAATATCACAATTCCTCAGGCACAAGAGTACTTGCAGGACACTTACAGACCCTCACAGGTGCCCGCGGATCTGCTCATTGACACTGCATATCTCTGTATGGTCCAGCGTCTGCTGGGTTGCCCTTCCAGGACACCTGCCGCAGGACCACCAAGTCTCACTGAAGACAGAGTCAGGCCAGGTGTGTTTCCTCCGTGAGTCTGCCACTCCCACCCATGGTCAGCCATGGTGACCAGCTCTCCAAGGATATCTCAGTGTCTGTGCCGGGAGGCAATTGGTATTGAATTGGGGGCTGGGGAGAGGCCTCCTCCTGCCAAGATTCCCTGCCTACACCATGGCACTGTTATCCCTGAGACACCTCCATCCCATTACTAGGTACATCTGCAATCAGTCCAAGCCTAGGATCTGATAGCCCCTTGATGCTCAGTTCAGTGTGTCCTTTTAAATATCCTATGAAGTACGTATCTTTATTACATCCCCATGTTAAGACTTAGAAACAGGTTTAACCAAGTAAGCAACCTGCCCGGGTCACGTACTTGCTAAACCGACCTGACCATAGTCTGCCTGGTTCAGTGCTCCTATCGCCTTCCCAAAGTGAAGAACAGAGCCTTCTGTAAGCACAAGCAATAGGACAGGACTTATTTGGTGATATAAGTGTTGATTTTGATGCCCATGTTCTTGATGAGTGGAAAGGATATAGTGGGGCACCTGGGTGGCTCAGTGGGTTAAAGCCTCTGCCTTCGGCTCAGGTCATGATCCCAGGGTCCTGGGATCGAGCCCCGCATCGGGCTCTCTGCTCAGTGGGGAGCCTGCTTCCTCCTCTCTCTCTCTCTCTGCCTGCCTCTCTGCCTACTTCTGTCAAATAGATAAATAAAATCTTAAAAAAAAAAAAAAGGATATAGTAATTATGCCTTCGGGCTGCTAGCCGACATTGTTACAGGATCAGGGATTCAGAGCTCACTTGGCGAAATGACACCCACCCCCTTGCTCCTGGGGACATTGACAGGTAGTACAAATGAGAGCCGGGGAAGGAACAGAGCCTGCTTCTTGGGCTCTTAGAGGGCACCAGGCCTCCTTCCAAGCCTTCCCTGTGTTCCAAACACATCCCCATAATCACCAGAGCTTGACACCAATCCTGAGAGGCTGGCTGAAGAACTTGTTGTCTCTCAGCAACTGTAGTGGCTCCTTATTCAATGGAAGAGAAGGGTAAATTCTGAGAGAGAAAGGGAGTAGCAGGCTCCTACTTGCTGGGTCAGGAGGATTGGGGTGGCTCCTGGTTTTCCAGCCCCTGACCTCGAGTTCCTTGCACTATCCTGGCCGGAGCTCCCAGAATACAAGGCTTAATGGAGACCAAGGGTTATTGTCCATCATATCTGTCCTTGATCCTGGGAAATGGAGCATATAAATGTGCTTTCTTTATTGATTCACTTCACTGACCAAGAGCATTCCCCATTATTTACAAATATAAGTGAGCCTCCTGTCTTCTCAGAGAGTCCCCAAACCTCTGCTCTGAGGAACCATCCCTCAGAGATGACCTTAAGCAGAAAGATGTCTTCTTTTGTCTTTGCCTTTTTCATTTTGGCTCAATTTCTATCAGGTAATTGCCAAAGGATGGGATGGTGAAGGGCGCAGATCATAAAGCCTAAGGCTCTTCCATAGACCATCGTAAAATTGAGAGTAATGGTCGGCTCCCCTCTGAGCGTCTCATGGGATCTTCTTGACTCCGCAGCGGCATTTTCTAAGCAAACCACTACCCTCCCCCCGCCTTTTTAAAACTTCTTACTGGTTACTGGGAGGGCTGACCTTCAGAAGTAGATCAAAGATACGGTCTCTGTGATCTGCTGTCCTTTGATAGCAGATGTGTGGAGCTGGAAATACTGTTTTATACAACATTATTTCCTGCACTGATTTTAATATCCAAAATGTGTTGTTTTGAACTTAGGGTGCCAGGCAGGACTGGAGTATTCTGAGCCACTTCCAGGAGGTAAGTTGAATCCCCTGTGCATAATTTCTACTTTTAGGTCCTCTGGCCTGTCAGCTCCCTCTGACTTCTGGCGACAAGGAGTGATGGAAATGATAGTGAGAATAGAGTTGCCTGAAATCCCAGATGTCTGTGTGTGTCTTCTCTTACTTGTATTTTCATCTCACAGAGAAATCTCTGTTACTGCAATGGAATTTTGGCCGTAGGGATCTGGACCTGGTGGCTAGTGTCATTAGCTCATGGTGTTCATAAAAGCAAGATTAGAGGATACGCTTGTACCAGCCAATGAGCACTGACTGCTCGGAGAACATCCTCATCTGTGTCCTATAGGCTCTGCTCCCAAACCCAGCAAAATGTGTTCCAAACTATGGTACTAATCTAGGAAGGATTAAATAAAGTGAAATCTCGTCACCATCACAGAAGAGCTGTGAAGAGTGGAGAGCCCCCGATCTCTGTCTGTGCACTCATCTCCTACAGAAAGAAAGCATATTATAAACAGAACTGAAAGAAATACCCCTGGTAATTGCAAACAGAATTTAAAAGTGTTTAGACAGAATTGTGGAGCAAGAAAAAAAAATTCGGATTATTACTAGTCACTGAGTGCTGACTATGTGCCAGACAGTCTGTTAACTTTATGTGGATTATGTCATTTAATCTTCAAACATCCCTATGACGTGGGATTATTGTAACTGCCACCTTATAGAAGATGGGAAAGCTGAGACATAGAGGCGACGTTCAGTCATTTTGCCTAGATGATACAATGATAAGTGGTAAGCTAGGCTTCCAACTCAGGACGCGAGGGTCACAAAGTTTTAATTCTCTGATTCTCAGTCAGGTAGAACAGTGCCCACCAATACCTTTAAGCAGAGGTGGCATACAAAATCTTCAACAAAACTGTAGCACTGAATAATCAGACTGTCCACAGCCTGCAAAGAGCAGATTCTGTCACAAATAATCACCCTGTCCATTGCATAAAAACCCTGAATATAAACGCATCCAGAGAGGGTCCTCAGGGTGATGGGTGGGAGAATGTATGTTCTAATTCAGCAGCAAATGGGCATCTAGAGATAATCCCTGGCATGCCAAAGAGTGGGTCAGATTAGGATTACAACATAATTCATATCCTATCTGGTTCCAAGGCTGCATATGCTGATTGAGCAGAGATGCCTCAGAGTCACTGAATTGTACTGTAGGGCTAGACTGTCATGGGGCGTGGGTGGGTAGTAAGCATTGGTTCTTTTTTATAAATGTTATCAGGCAGCTTTGGCGTAAAATGCTGCTAGCAGAAAGGCATCTTCAGTAGAATGTGATCTTGCATCTGTCCTCACCTCTCATCAAAGCAGGTTGGAATACAAGTCATTAGGGACTTTGTTTCAGGATCAGGACTCTTAACACAACATGTGATGAGTGCATGACATCAAGCAGAAGAGGCAGGTGATGAGGACCTGGGCTTACCAAAGCAAAGACTGCCTGTAATGGTGACTTCACAGAAGCAACTGGACAGCCACGGCTCCCCCACTCCCCCAGCAAGCTTCAGCACAATGCAAACAGCAATTAGCATGAACACAAAGAGTGTCGGGTTAGTGTTCAGAAGTTAGGTGGGCAACTTCAGGAGATCCAGCATCAAGTTATGGAATGCATCCAAGGAAGGGACCAACTCTGGGCTCATTACTGAGCAATGATGTGAGAAGGAGGAGCAGGTGGTGAGACAGGGAGCATAATAAAGGCTGAAATAGTCACTGGTGATGGGCAAATGGGCTGTCAAGGAGCTCAGTGAATGGTTGCAGTAGGAGACCAACCTGTAAGCTTCCACATAGTTCTGAGGTTCTTGAGAAGAGGGTGGTCAATAGGACAGAGAATAAGGGGTTACAACATAAATGTTGCCCCTGGAGAACCGGATCAGCAAATAGATTCTTGGCTGGCAAAGGCCCTACCTACCTGGTCCATGAAATTTACCCTGGAAAATTTTTTGTGGTCGGTCGTATAAAAAAGCTTCTGTTTAAAGTAACAACAACAAAAGTAACTAATGGAAGACATAGTGTTTGGCAAAATGTTCTCACATAAACTACTCCATTTGACCACTAGAGAAATTTACAGTGTAGACAAGTATTTCTAGAAAGTCGATATGACAAATGAGAAAGCTAAGACCAGGCAATTTACTGAGGACACACCACCATTACCAGACTCAACCAGCACTGACTTTACCTCTACCTTTTACCTCTATCTCTACCTTTACCTAACTTTACCTCTACCTTGGAGGACCTTTCTAAACCACAAGGTGGCCTTTCCACCTTCAACCTGTAACCTTCGCAGAAGTATCAGGGATGTATTTTTATGGTTCTACAGTATTTTTGACCCATGCAAGGCATAGAGAACAGGGATGGTGCCTATCTCTTGCTTCAACATTAACTCTTGCCCCCTCCATCCTGAAGAAAGCAGAGCTCTTTGAAAAATCAGGCCTGGTTCTTTAAAAACACTCTTTAAAGTCATACAAACCACAAACCCTCACCTTTTTTTGATGGCTTTTGACCTTCTCCCCACCTCAGGGGAGTCCCTGGAAAGATGTCTCAGCTGTTCTTTGTCAGCCTAGGTGAGTTTTCTCCTTGTGAGCCGTGCTGGCTGGGCCGGGGAAAATGCAGGAGGATGTGTACCGAGGACGAGAAGGTTATTGGACAATGCAGGATGAACTTCTTCTGTTGCCGACCGAAGATCAAATGAAGCAGGCCAGCACTCTTCTGGCCTTCCAAGGGGGACTTGGTATTCAAGGGAAGACAAGCGAATTTGCGAGCCTTACCCATATCACACTGTGAGTGAGTCTCAGAATCCTTCTCATGTCTCTCTCCCTTTTTTTTTGTTGTTGTTGTTTCTTTGCTTATGTTTCAAGATAATCCTTAAAAAATCAAGATCTGAGTGTGTAGTTAGTAGCCTACTCAGATACGACAACTACATAATGGTAGAGTCCCTTATAGCTTTCAAATCTTTCCCCCACACTTCCTTCATATGGCTCAAGATCACCTTATGATTTTATTATCTCCATTTGTATTTGAAGAATGTTATTTCCATTTGTATTTGAGAGTCAGAGAAACTTTCATTTCTTCAAGATCATAGCCTGGGAGACAAGAAAAGGTGTGATCACCCCTATCATGTTCTTTTGTACCCATCTATATGTAATAATTTTAACCAAAAAGATAAACAGAAATGGGATCTGCATCTGTGTTAATAGAATTACAATTCTATAGCATACAAGAAATTATCCATATACTATCCAACACACTGTCAGTCATTGATTCTAGTACTTATGGTGTATTTTTTAAGCCACTCGTACCTACTCAGTTAATGTCCATGGCACCAACTTTGTACTTCTCTTCTTGCCAGTAAGTGAAAATGTCAGAGATTAATTTAAAATGCTCAACATGGTCTATGCATGAATGGTTGACTGTATAACTTCTGCCTTATGAAATAAAATTTGTAGCTTCACACAATAAAGGTCAAAATTATTCATCCTATGAGCAGCTCCTCAAATCTGATCCCTCAGTTTCACATGGCGGGTTGACGTTATTTAGCTTCACATCTGCGTTAGCATTGTATCATTTCTTGTTTCACGCTCCCTGTCCTTTCCCCGCTCTGCTCTGTGTAACTGGCACTACTCTCTGCAAACTACATTCTCCACACCTGCTGGCGTCCAGCTGGCTTCTATCAATGTGAGTGTGTGGTGGGAGGATAGATGGGAAGAAGGCAGAGCCCCGGTTTCTCTCCCCTACCCTCTGCTCTGGCAGCAGCTCCATCTCCAATAACGAGTCCCTGCTTCTGGGTCCCGGCTTCTCCATCTGTCCTGCTGCTGCAGGCACAGCCCCTGTAGCCAGTCCTAGCTTCTGGGTCACACCATGGTCTCCTGCTTTCCTCCCAGCCACTGGGCAGTGGGGGCTTCCAGCTAGGGCTAACCCTGGGGCTGCCCCATTGCTCCCTTTATGCATGGTCAGCTCTTCCAACACTTTATCACGTCCTCTCCATGTTAAATCATCTCTATCAAACTACCCTGTGTGGGAGCTGTTTTCATGCCTGGAGCCTGACTGATTGGGCTTTTCTAATGGCTCTACTGTCAGACCGATTTAGATGGGATCAGTTATCCTCCAAAAGAGATCTGAGTCGTCCCCTTTGCCAACCTGAGAGTGTTTCCCTCATTTTCACAGGAATTAACTCAGAGAAGTGGGCAGTGGAACAACAAAAGAATCTGCAGGTGAGTTATCACCTGCGGGGGTGGGGGGGTTACTACTAACAGAGTACTATTGAGGGTTTACAGAGGACCATGAGACCAAATACTCCCTGCTCATTCCAAACACTCCATTCTGTGATTCCCCAAATTGAAAACGTCCCGGAATCCAACTGAGTCTCCTTTATGGAAGGATTCAAGTGCATGTCTGAGTCATGAGGAGAGGTGGACCAGTGGCTATGCCCTGATATTTCCTTACTCGTAACCTTGTACAGAATCCCATAGATGATTGTCGACTCACAAATTACCCCTCCTCTCTTTTGCTTGCTCCCTCCTCTCTTCTTCAATTGGCTTCTTTTTAGGAGATTTTCATCCACACCCCTTCTTCCTGAGACCCTCAATCCACCCTATAAAATAATAAAGTCTAAACTCATACAAATTTCTTATTAATTCAGCACTTTCAGGGTGCAAGTGGCTGCCCATGGCTTCTTCAGATTAACTTTCTGTTTGTTGATTTCCACAGTAACTCATGGAGATCTCTGATATCAGTCCACTGGGTTTTCTGAAGGGAAACTCTTCTAATTGGTGGAAGGGTCAGATGGAAATGGTCAGAAAGAAGGGACACTGATGCGGCTGGTTTTTCCCTGAAGTATCTCCGCTCTAGTCTACATACTGCTCCTCTGTAGCATGACTTGCCCTCCTTCATTTTGAAACTTTGGCTCTGGTCTGACTATGCTAACTGTGTATTATCCCTTCTTCATTTGGGGTTCTGTTTCAGAACTCCCTCACCATAACTGAAAGGGAACAGCAGAACCTGTAGAGCAAGACTGACCCATTTGGGCTGAAGTACCAAATGGCAGAGGACAAAACCTTGAGTATCATTTTCTCCCACATTCCCCACTGAAGTCCCAGAGGCAGGAACAGCAAAGAAGTTGTCCACAGAATGTGCTCTGAAACACTTAGTCTTGTTCCTGTGCCTTGAGGAAATAAGAGAAAGCAAGAGAAGGCAGGGGACAGATTTCTTTGGAGAACGGGTTGGTGTGCTATGATTGGGACCTGACTCTGGCTCTCAAGGGGGACAGGTGAGGAAAATAACCCTTTCACATCAATCCTTATGAAATGGGCTTCATTTCAAGAGGTACTTGGAAAACCAAACACACTGCCCTGTGGTGCTCACAACCTGAAAATGTTTGCCGGCGAAGAGCTTGTGGCTGCAGCCTTCCACAGTGGCAGGACAGAAAGGCCAGCCCTGGAGTGACTGCACTTACCATATTAGGCAGAGCAAAAGAGACATGGCTCCCACAGACCAAGAGAATGCTACACAAGGTCACTGAGCTGAAACCATCCTACAGGGAAAATTTCCAAATACTGTGGCCTGCTGAAACAAAGGGACTCAGCAGTAAGTGGTTTTAGGATAAGCCCTGGGAGGTGAGGGGCAGAGGGAGAGTCCTAAGATGGTCCAGAAAGAACATCAACCATTCAGGAAATTGCGCAATGCCATGGGCCACACAGGAGTCTCAAAAGAACATACCAGTGTGTTCCCCAAAGGGAGATCTACCTTGGAATACTCTTGTACTTGTTTCTGTCACTGTGTCACAAGGTACCACAAAATTAGCTGCTTAAAACACCACACATTCTCTCACACTTCTGTGGGTCCCAAGTCTGGGCATGGTGTAGCTAGACCCCGACTCAGGGTTTCCCCTACCCTGGGACTAGCGGCATGCGGTCATCTGGGACTTTGATCTAATCTGAGGCAAGAGATCCCCTTGCACCACCCCTCCACCCCCGCCCCTGGGGCTGTCAGGAAAATTCTGTCACTTGCCATTGTAGGCCTGTGGTGGGCGGCTGTCTCCCTGCAGGCTGGGGACTGTCCTGACCTCACAGAGGTTGCCCTGCGTTCCTGGCCCTGTGGCTCTTTCCACAAACCAGCAGATTTCTCCTTCAAGGCCAGCCAGAATGTCTCTTGTACTTCAAAACTCCAACTTCTTCCTAACAGCAGAAAAGAAAGGAGAGAGAAACCAAGCTATATGGAGTAACATTTTGTTCACCGTTGGAATGGAGTTAGTATTAATCCAAACTAGATTATTTAAAACTGATTGCAACCCCCCAAGTCATTTATAATAGAACTCAAACATGCATAGCACCATAAATGACAAAGGAATTCAAACGGTTCCTCAAAAAAACATCTATTTAACACAAAAGAAGACAGTAAGGCAGGAGTGGGAGGGAAAGAAATAACATTTAGAAAACAAACAGCAGGGGGCAGCTAGGTGGCTTAGTCGGTTCATCTGACTCTTGATTTCAGCTCTGGTCATGATCTCAGGGTCATGAGATCGAGCCCCGCATTGGGCTCCACGCTTGATGTGGCGCTTGCTTGGGATTCTCTCTCTCCCTCTCTGTCTGTCTCCCCACCCCAAACTCTGTCTTTCTAGATAAATAAATAAGAAAACAAATAGCAAATGGCAGATGTAAATCCTACCTCATCAATTATGGCATTAAGCACAAATGGATTTAACACTCCCGTTAGAGCCTCGCAGACTGGAGTTTTTTTAAAAAAAGATCCAACTATATGCTGTGTGCCAGAGACACACTTTAGATTCAAGGAAATGAAGAGGTCAAAAGCAGAAGAATGAGAGAACACAGAACTAGAGACAAGAGAACATTGTACAGTGATAGGCACATCAACCCCTCAAGGAGACGTGACCATGGTAAGTGTGTATAAACCTCACCAGAACCATAAAATACATGAAAAGAGACACCTGACACATTGAAGGGAGAAATCGAAAATTCCACAAAAATATAAATGTTTTATGGCCTAGCGTGTGATCCATTTGGATGAATGTATCATATGTACTTGAAAAAATATGTGTATTTTGCTGTTGCTTTATGCGTGTTGACTGTAAATATCAAGTCAGTCAACGTGATGATAGGGCTGTTTAAGTAAGTTAAACGTATTTACTACTTTTGGTTCTACCCTTTGCTGGGAAGAGTGAAATCAAAATCTTCTACTTTGAATATAGACCTGTTTTCGTCCTTTAATTCAATCCGTTAATGTGTAAACATGTTACCCAACATCCCACTTTCTATTTGATGATAATCTTTTTTTTAAAATCTGAAATGAATATTGCCACTCCAGCCTCCTTACTCTTTATATTTTCATAGTTTATGTTTTTCCATTCATTTACTTTCAATCTTTCTGTGCCTCTTTATATTTATAGTGCTTTCCTTATAATTTGTGGTCTGATTTTACTCGGCCAATTTATTTCCTAGCTTTGACAATTCACAATTATGGGCAATGTTCCCCTTGGAGTAGGCTGGGTAATGGGTTCACAAGACCTCTCTGTTCCATTGTTGCAACTTATTATGAGTCTATAATTACTTCAAAAGAAAAAAAATGTTTGCAGAGTTAGTTCCTTTATAGATAACACACGTTTTTATCTTCCTGTTTAATTTTTCTGATTATCTCTACCTTTTAAGGAGAATGTTCAGTCCCTTGATATTTTTACAT